ACAGGGTGGGTTATGCTGAAGTAGCCAACATTCCCCCCCCCCACATCTGGCTCTTATGTAGCCATTTTCTCTTGCTCCAATATTCTTGCTTCTTGTGGGTGAGTTAAGACCCCTATTCCACATCATGCTCTTGTCCTAGGCTGACAGAACAACCTCAGTCTGGAGATGTAGTCCTGGAAAAGAAAAAATGGCAAGGCAAAGGGCAACTCTTGGAGGTTAACATGCACCCAGTGGTCCCATCATACACATTTACTAACAGAGCAGGCCTTGGCTGGGGATGGGGGATAGGGCTTTACAGACAACCCTAACTGGCCCCACAGTGGGCCACAGTGAGTTGAGTTTTGAACTGAGGGGCATCAGGACACAGTGATGACTCCTGTCTGTAGTGGAGCCATGCCTAAATGCTCTGTCAAAATTTAATCTCGCCAAATCCAGATGAAACACCCTCTAGGTCTTCCTCCCTCCCTCCCTCCCTCCAAATGGGCAAAACCTATACTTCAAGGGAATTTGTGAGAGTAAAACACCTGGATGCATGTGAAGTCTGTCCTGACTGACACAGATCTCAGCAGAGCCAGTAATGGGCAAACCTCAGATAATGGCTGATGGATGATGGATGCAGGTCAGATGGCCCAGCACACTGTCAGTGCTGTGCACCTGGCTGTTACACCGTCATTTGTAGATGGAGAAAAAGCCTGCACATTTTCAGTTCAGATGCTCTTAAAGAAGCATCCCCAGAGGGTGGGAGGCAAGGCTGTGGAGAGCTCTGAGTGGCTGGGCATGCAGGCAGCTAGGAGGCAGAAGCTGGGGGCTGCATGGGATCTTTGGGAAATATCTCCTCATCCAGGCGATATCTCCTTCTGGGCCACGGGGCAGCCAGAAGGCTCTTGTCAGATGTGCATCTTGGACTTTCAAGCTCCCAGACTGTTAAGAACTTTTGTATTTTATCTTATATGAGGATCTCACTTGGTTCAGGTTGGCCTTGAACTCCACATGTAGCAGAAAATTACCTTGAAGTTATGATTCCTATTTCCACCTTGCAAGAGCTGGGATTACAGATGTACACCACCATGTCTGCAGTATGCAGAGCTGGGATCTGACCCAGTGCTTCATGCATACCAGGCAAGCACCCTTCCAGGGCTGTTGATTTTGTTCTCCAGCAGTAGTTTGGATCTGGAGTATCTCGGAGGCCTGTATGTTGAAGGTTTGGTTATCAGCCTATGGCTATTTTAGGAGAGGCTGGGACCTTGGAGAGGTGTGGCTGGTGGGTAGAGGTGAGATCACTTGGGGGGGGGTGCCTTGGAAAGAGCCACTGGGACCCCAGAAATTTCTCTTCTTCATGCTTTCTAGACTCTGTGAGCTGCCTTGTCCCACAGAGGCTCCCTCTGTGTTCTGCCTCATAAGCCCGAAGGCAACAGTGCCAGGCGACTGTTAAAGCAAACATGTCCTTATGAACTTATTGTGTTAGGTGTTGTGTCACAGGTGCTTGGGTGGCTTAGGGCTGTTCAGTTCACCTTTACTAGATACCTGTCTTCCCCCGGTATCGTGAGTTTTAATTTCTTAACCATATTTCATAGAATGAGAATAAAACAAAACCAAAAGGAAGTGTCCAAACTCCTGTGCCTCTAAATTATCTACAAATGCATTATAAACATCAGCAAAGATAAACATACTGGTTTTTTTTTTTTTTTAAACCTAGACATTTCTGGGAAGAGGGGATCTTAATAGAGAAAATGCCTCTATAAGACAGTCCTGTAGTCTTGATTAATGGCTGATGTGGAAGGTTCAGCACGCTGTGGGTGGGGCCACCCAGGGCAGGTGGTCCTGAGATGGATAAGATAGCTGGCTGAGCAAGCTATAGAGCACAAGCCAGGAAGATGCGCTTCTCCATGTCCATGGCTCTTGCTTCAGTTCCTGCCTCCAGGTGCCTGCCTTGAGTTCCTGTCCTGATTTTTCTCAGTGATGGAGTGTGACCTAAAGACAAATAAAACCTTTCCTTCCCAAGTTACTTTTGGTTATGTCCTTTTTCACCGCAATAGAAAAACTAAGAATAAAGTTTTGATAATCCATTTGTAGAGTGGTTTTATTATAAACTTGCTCAGCAAGAGGCAAAAAGCCGTGTGTGTGTGTGTGTGTGTGTGTGTGTGTGTGTGTGTGTGTGTGTTGTGTGTTGGACATGTGCTGAATCTGAAACCATCAATGCAGAAGAAAGCAGTTTTGAACACCCAAGAAGCAATTATAAAAAGCTCTGAGCACACACTATGTTCATCATTTGGTGCTTATTTACTGCTTACAGAAATGTTTACTAACTAAGCAGAGGTTTATCTTATATAACAAGTGCAGAAACACAAACTGCAGCAGCCACAGACTCAGTGTCACAGTCACTGTTCTATTGCTGTGAAGAGACACCACGACCAAGGCATGCTTATGAAAGAAAGCATCTAATATTGCTTGCTTACAGTTTCAGAGGCGAGTCCATTGTCATCACAGTGGGGAGCATTGGTAGGCAGGCATGATGCTGGAGCAGGAGCTCAGAGCTCTACATACTGGTCTGGAGGCCAGGGGCAGGGGTAGGGCATGAACAAGAGTGACACTGGGCTTGGCTTGGGCTTTTGAAACCTCAAAGCCTACTCCCAGTGACACACTACTCCAACAAGGCCACACCTCCCAATCCTTCTCAAATAGTGCCACTCCTTGATGACCAAGCATTCAAATATATGAGCCTGGCTCATATTAGTCACACCATCAAACTCAGGGAAAATAATTTTGCGTTTTGAGGGAGATATTAGTATTTTTCTACTAGTCCTTAACGTTACTCAAATCAGGGTGCTTCATCTAATTCCCAGAGAGCAGCAAGGACAGAAGGGAAAGTAAGCAACAGCTGTCTCTTTCTGACACTTCCCAGAGACTTGCAAATTCCACACTCCTGGTTGGCTGGAATCACAAGCTCTGCTCACCACTGTTAGGAGACACACTGGGAAATTTGTTTAAAGATATTAGGCAGTTCTGAGACATCTGCATGAGTCCATAGGAAGTAAATGAGATGAAGGAACAACAGCAGTGCCACAAGAAGGATCAGCCATGTCATTCCAGAAAAAACGTCAGGGCAAGTACCCCTAGTCAGAGCTGCAGAGACAGGAGCTTTGACCACAGCACCACTCAACTGCTCTTTGCATGAACTGACAGAAATACATCTGGAGCAAGGGAAGGCCACCATATGCACGGGAGCATTGCAGATGCATGGCAGCCACCATATGCTTGGGAGCATTGCAGATGCATATAGCAGGGTTGAAAGGTTGCACCAGGAGGAGTTAGCATTGCATAGCATTTAAGTAGAGAATGAAGTGGAGAAATGAGGAATATTGATAGAGCTGCAGCAGTCATTAGCAGTGTCTCAGTGTCACTGCACACTCATTGTGCACAGTGATCCAAAGCCTTTCATAAAAAGGAGCTATAGTCTCTCCAGTCTGCGGCTCACATGTAACCTCAGAGATCTGTGTTTACAATGATAAGGTTAAGTTCATGGCCAGTGCTTTCATGTGGGAGAGAGCTGGCAGGACGGGAAAATGGAAACCCTGAGTGTACAAGTAGAGTAGACACTCAGCTTTTCCTGGACCATGCATTCTGTATTCTCATTGAAGTGACACAAAGCATACATGAAAGGATTTAAAAATGGGCTGTGAAGCCAGGCGGTGGTGGCACACGTCTCTAATTCCAGCGCTCAGGAGGCACAGGCAGATGGATCTCTGTGAGTTTAAGGCCAGCTTGGTCTACAAAGCAAGTTCCAGGTCAGCCAGGACTACAACAGAGAAACCCTGCCTCAACAAACAAACAAAAATAAAATGTGCAGTGAAGCATCGTGGTGACCTCCTGTCACCTCAGTACTTGGGAGGCTGAAGCAGGAAGACTGAGAGTTGGAGGTCATCTCAGGGAAAAAGTGTTCAACCTAGCAATACTAAGCACAGTGAAGTATTGCACAGCCCTTGGTTCCATATAGGTCCTGGACAGTTCCCCTCAATGGACTCTAGGACACACAAAGTAATCCTCTCCATTTCTTCCCCCTTCTGCCCTGGGAAACCTCAAGTCTGCTTTTAGTACCTTGGATTTGTCTGGTCTGCCACACAAACAAAATAAGACATGCCGATCAATCAGCATCATCCATGACAGTATCCTTTCTTTTCTGTGGCTGAATACTATTCCACATGTTATACCACATTTTCTTTCTCTGTTCATTCACTGATGACCATTTGACTTGTGTGATGCTCTGAGTGAGCATGGTCCCCATAGGCGCACATGGGTTAGGAGGTGTGGCTTTGTGGGCATGTCTTTGGGGATTGTCTTGATGGGTGGTACCATTGCCTAGGAAGGGGATCCAGGATGGTGTGAGAAAGTCAGCTGAAGCCAGAAATGCTTAATTCATCAATCTTTGCTCTTGACTGTGGCTGTGTGTGACCGGTCACTTCAGTACCTGCTGCCCTGATGGACTGTGACCTAAAACTGAACCAAGTAAACTCTTTCTGGAGTTACCTCTGTTAGGGTACGCTATCACAGCAACAGGAAACAAACTAAGACAGTGAGTTCCTGAAAGCACACCTGGCCATCCCCTTAATTATCGTGATTGTATTATTGGTATTGTACCAACCACCTCCTAGCCAGAGACAGGGCAACTTCGGTTCTTGAAAAAAAAAAAAAAAAGCAAAACTCCATAGTGCCTAACCAGCTGCCAGCTGCCAGCTGTGGAGATGCAGAAGGGACAAGGAGGTACTTAGAGAAGATGCTGGATCTGAAGCAAGTGGCTTTTGGACTTGCTGAGTATCCCCTGGAT